TTTAAAACCTAAAAATATTTATGAATATTTAAATATTAATATTTTATAAATTTTTAAAATAAAATTATAAAAGTATATAATATAATATAATATAAATTAAAATTTAATTTTAATTAAATTTAACTTAAGAAAATATAAATTAATTTTAATTGTAATTAAATTAAATTTAATAAAATATAAATTAAATTTTAATTTTAATTTTAATTTTTTACAAATAATATATCTAGATATAGATAGTATAATACTTGTACCACTTACTAGTAAATTATATTTGAATATCTTTTAAAAAAAGTTTAAGGATGAAAATACAATTATTAGTGTAAAAAATATAGAGGGTAGAAAAATCATTTAAAATTTCACTTCACATATTTTTATTTTTTTATATTGACCTATGATACTGAAATTATTTTGTAAAAAATTTATATTTTAAAATTTATATTTTTCACAACTTATTTAATTTTTTTTTTAGAAAGATCAATTTATCTGTACTAACATTTTATCAAGTAATTTGATTTAAATTATAGTTAAAAAGTAATTAGTTTATCTAAATTAATATTTTCAAGATGTTTTAAATAATTTTATTTGAAATTTAAAATATATATATATATATATATATATATATATATATATAATTATCTATTTGTAATAATAAAAAACTCACAGGTACTTTTTTTTAGGATACTTAGAAAAGAATAACATGGAGGTACTACAGGTAGCAAGTAGATGCTGTCTCAACTTATTTCCATTACTAACCTTCATTATTGTTACCTTTCCGTGCTTTTACACAAGAAATAAAGAAATAAATAGTGACAAAATTAAATTTGAAATTCTTTTTAAATTTAGATATTTTTACTTAATTCCTATTATTTTTTGGTTTATATTTAGGCTATATATTCAATTTTTTCCCCATATTTTATTTGAACTCAATTTTGTTACAATTTTCTTTAGAATGGTACAAAGTTGGCCCTTTTGGTAAGATGACGTGATTATGTGATGGAGTGTTTTGGTGGAATTTAATATGTATTTGCATTAATTTGAAGCCAAGGTTGGTTAAATAAAAGAAGGGTTTCTTCCGAGTTAAAAAACATTCTGTATTCCTACAATTGGAAATTTGGAGAATATTTGAAAAGTTTGATTGTGGTGGTGGCCGATTTCTATTTGGCCTATTGAAGTTTGGATGATTTTGGAGTAGACGTTGACGATGACTTGCAATCCTTAGATGGTGATGAAAATTCTCAATAAATTCATAAGAGATAAAGGATTGTCATACAATGACTAGATGTAAGATTTGGAAAGCTAAAAGTGGATTTGGTAAATTTGGTAATATTAAACTGCCAAAAAACATGACTTATTATAAGTGGCAATTAGGAATATATTTCAGTGTTATGGACAAGTTTATTGATGCTATATGAACATATTTCAATGGAAACATACAAACATTTTTACATTTTTTTTCCATTGAATCCCTTTCATCTGATTTTACCCATCAAGGGAAATAACATGAACATTTGATTTTGCAGTCTCAAACACAACACTACAATCTTGGATACAATAAAAATAGATCTCTACAGTCCTAATTATTTTTATAAAAATTCTAAAACAAATGTTCTAAAACTTCATTTTTCTTCTTGTTTAGTTTTGTAATGTTGTATTTACATTGCCACATTAAATGATCACTCACCCAATTTCATTTAGGGGTTCAATTAAAAAATATAATTTTTTTTTAACTTAACAAAATTTAGGGGTTCAATAGAATTTACAATTTTCTATAAAATTAAAAACAACATAATATTTTGTAAAGATTACACTTATATAATATGATCATATATATATAATTGGTTTCAACACCATTTTTAATATAGTATTTATTAATCTTTTCTCATTAGATACTCATAATTTTTATATTTTCAATTGAGTTACTGTTCAATTTTCTTTTATTAATTGGATGTAATTGTTATTTTATTCATCATCTAATTTTCTTTCCTCTTAAGAAATAAAAAGTTGTGTAATTAATATAAAATAATATTGATAACATATCAAAACAAGAATAATAGTCACGACCAAAAAATTAAATGAGAAAAAAAATATTTAAAAAATAAAAAACTTTAAGTATCAAATAAAAAAGTTAATTAAAATAGATAAACTTTTTTCACACTCGGTTAAGGGAAGAAGACAAACCTTTTAGGCTGTCACAACTTCAAAGGCAGGCAAATAAGTTTTCTTTGGTTAAATTAGCTGTTTGTGTTTCATTATAAGGGGAGGCATGTAATTGTTAAGTCCCACAAAGAGTATAAAGTGAATTAATTTGAGGTTAATTGCAGTCCTATGGAGACACAGAAATGAGATGATGTGGTAATACATTTTTCATGTACTCATAAGAGAATTTGAAACCAAATATATATGAAGAATGCGAGCAATATGACAGAGAATGGACAGGGTATAGTGTAAGCGGCAATATGGATGAGTTGAGTAGTATAAATATGATAAGTGGTGTTCAAATCCAAATGCATCATACCATGATTAGAGCTTGGAAAATACTGGCTTGCGTTTCTGTTTCTGTGCCGTCACTGCTTCAGTTAAGTCAGAGGATAACAATCTGGCAGAATTCAAGGTTGCCACATAATCCAACCCCTGATCCACGGTTAAGTCCCTACTTTTAAGCAGCACCATTTTTGTCCCAACAACAGCAAGGGGAGACTTGATGGCAATTGCTGTCCAGAGTTGAAATTCAAGTGATTAAGTCCAACAATAAGTCAATTACTTTTAAGAATAAGAATTACTACTGAGTCGTATGCAAATAGTGTAAGTATTAGTCATTAGTGCAAATGGAAAGAAGGAAGGAATGGATGAATGAGTGGTGCTGCATTTGGTTAGGTTAGACAGATATTTCATTGAAGATTGAAGGGGAGGAAGGAACCTTGAGCGAGATCCATGACGGCCTGATCGAGGTGATGTTTGGAGTCGAAAACGCGAGAAACGAGACCTAATTCCTTAGCCTCCTCACCGGTGAAGGTGCGACCGGTCAAAGCCAGTTCCATGGCGTTGCCGAACCCCACAATAAGGGGTAGCCTCTGAAGAGTTCCCAGATCAGCCGCCAGGGCCAAATCCACTTCTTTAACCGAAAAAAACGCCTCCTTCGTGCACATCCTGATGTCACACGCAGTGACGATGTCAATTCCACCACCGATGCACGCTCCGTGGATACTCGCAATCACAGGCTTCCGGCACCGTTCAAGGGCAGTGACGGCATCTTGCATCGCCATGATCTGTCGGCGGAGGGCCTCGCCGGAACCCGAATTGGATGCGGTTGATCCCAAAATGGAGAGGTCGATGCCGGAGCAGAAGTGGTTGCCAGCGGCCGATAAGACGATGACCTTAACGTCGGGGTCGTGATCGAGGGCACAGAGGGCCTTGGGGAAGTGGATGAAGAAATCATGGGAGAGAGCGTTCCGTCGTGATGGACGATTCAATATAACATACCAAACACCGGATTTTGGGGTCTTCTCCGATATTTCCAGACTTGGGTATTTGTATTTCTCTTCCATTCTCTCTTATAACTCTATCTCTACCACTTACCCTCTATTTATCATATTTCATTACATGTGCAATGATCTTTCAATTCATGCACAACACGTTCTTTTATCTTTCCTTACCATCACATTATTATTATTTCTTTCTTATTTCATAAATATAGTTTTAATGTTTGTTATATATTTCTTGTTGAGAGAAATTTCGTCATTTTGTGTAAAATGATTATTTCATCATAGAAATGTTTTAATCGAATTTATTGAAACAACATTTTCAGCTCAATTACTTACTAGGAGTAGTTTTCTCATATTTTTTTTTCTTTAAAATACATAATACAGGATTAAAAGAAAAATATGTATTTAAATTATTTTTGAAATTATTAAATATATTAAAATAAATTTCCAATTAATGGAGGAATTAGAAATTGTTTTTGGAATCATTTTTCATTTCTTTCAATTTTTGAATTACATTTCATTTTCACAGTTTCAATCATCATACCTTAAGTTTGTCAAATTGATAGACTTCTTTGATAAAAAACTTATTTATCACTTAAAAGAACACACAGATAACTGAGAAACAAAACTGTATTACTCTGGACTCAAAAAATACACTGTTACAACACCTTAACTCTCAAAAAGGAACAACCTCATGTCTATACATAAAAAATTATTCAAAAGTTATCCTGCTACACAACCTCTACCTTCTATAAAGGCAACACAACCCGCTAATCAACTTCTAACTAATTCCTAATATGTTTCCTTCTATCATGTATTCATTATATTTTATCATATTATATTTTAACGTCATAATTTTATTTTTTAAAAATATTTATAAGGATTAAGAAAAAATATATATTTAAATTAACTTTGACTTCGTATCCTCCAATTGAGATTTAATAAAAATGTTAATTCATCTTTAAAATCACTTTATTATCTTTTGGAATAAAATTTCATCTTTATAACTTTTTTTTTCTATTATAATATCCAATTAAGTAACATTTTTTAATCTTTCAATGAGAAAGAAACTAAGAATGTGAGTTAGAAAGACAAGATATATTATTTTTGTGGCACTATACATATAATTTTATATTTTTTAGTTTATTTATTATTATTAAATCATAGAAAGATCATGATATTAATAACAAAATCACTTTCTACATCATCAATCAATGAAAAATGTAAAATTATTGTTGTAAGAAAAGTCGTGGTAGCAATTTTGTAATCAAGAAAAAGTTTTTCAATGATGATTATTTGGAGACCGTCGTGGAAAAATCAAGATTTGACATTTAACGATGATTATATAATTGAATAATCGTTAAAAGTTTGAGCACAAAAACAAAAAACAATGTTTGTATGTGAATCATCGTTAAAAGAGTTAGAGATGACGAGAAACAACGAAAAGAATGAGAAATAACGACGTTAAAAAAGTTTTTCTCTTTAAAAAGTGTGGAGTCTTTTCTCCTTTCTCACATTGTGCATATCGAATAATTTTTATATAATCAATCATAAACAATTAAAAATATTTAAATACAACAAAAGTTTTAGATATTAAAAAGATATTGATTGTCTATGAATCATTACTCATAACTCCTTTTAAATAATTTTTCCTTGTTAAATAAAGAAAATTGCATTCTAGTGGTATAAAAGTTTATTGCTTAGAGCAGGGAAGAGCAGAGACATAAGAGGGAAACTTGGATTCTCGTATTTTAGCTAAGAAAGAGTAAATGAGTTGGAAAAAACATTTCTGTCCTTGCACCATTATCAAAAATACATTAACCTCCTACTTGTAACAAATAATATACACTTTCCAAGTCCAACTCCAATGTATTCGTGAGCAGGAGGTAAATGAAAGATACATAAAAGAAAGCTAAGTGATTTCGGAAAGATTTTGGTCGGAGGCATGGACGGTAAGGAATGGCCGCAAAACAGATTCTAAAAGGAGTAGAATCCGGTGAATGGCTTTCAGTGGCTGGCATTGCGTGGGCATGCTTAGCCAAGCGAGACAGAAGAGGGTGATGTGAATAGTACAATGTGAAGAGAGCCTAGGCGTTAGAACCATCAAAACTGCCCTGCGCACTTTGTCGTCTTTTCTCTCTCCAATTCTCTCCCCACATCTTTGCTTCAGCCACCGCACGTTCTCTATCAAGATCCCTGTTGTTTAACATCCTTGCAGTTTCACGTGGGGACTCATCTTTCTCACACCCTTCCAAATCCCATCTCCTTCCAGATCCTCCACCTTGGTCATTTTTCAATATTCTTCCACCCTGATCATCTCTGTTCCTTTTATCATCACCACCTCCCTTATGGTCATATGCCTGGTTCGCTAGAAAAGAAAGGGCTGTCACCACATCCCCAATGAGAGGACGCGCTGCGGCCTGTTCCTGAATGCACATTGATGCCACTGCTAGAGCTTGGTAAAGACCCCGCATGGGATACCGTCCATGTAGCTCTGGATCTGCTAACTTTGGAAACTTTCTGCGGTCATTGAACAGTGGACGTGCCTGATCCAACATACATAAAACCATCATTACATTACTACCCTGCTGTTAACTATGCATAAGTTAATGTAATGCAAGCCAAACTAATAAAGACAAGGAAGGATTGGACGACTACCCACCCATGTGACAAGGTTTTGTTCTCCATGGGGTCGAGTGCTGTCAATGGCTTTACGCCCAGTAATCAGCTCCAAGAAGACTACCCCAAAACTATATACATCAGACTTCACAGTCAGCTGTCCAGTCATAGCATATTCTGGGGCACAATATCCATAAGTTCCCATGACCCGGGTGGACACGTGTGATTTGTCACCAACTGGTCCAAGCTTTGCAAGCCCAAAGTCTGAAAGCTTTGGATGATAATCTTCGTCAAGTAATATATTAGACGATTTGAAATCTCTATAAATGACAGGAGGATTTGCCTTGTCGTGAAGGTATTCCAATCCTTTTGCTGCCCCAGCAGCTATTTTCATCCTAGTGTTCCAATCCAATGGTTCCTTCTCCGGGGGAAGATCTGCACTCAAGTCCATAAATAACATTTTTTTTAAATCAACAGAATTACATTGTCTAAGAAAGCGGTGATGTAAAAGACGAGCCATTTATTCTCCTCTCTAACCAAAGTTCCGAGATGCTAATCAATAATTAGAAGGCATATAAGATTATCACAAAGCAAAATGGAAACATTTCTAGCAGACTATATAATGGTTATCAGATCATCACATGTATCACATTCCTTTTCCATAGCTAGCAATAACATGGAAAGATAGTCCAAACACTTGGATGGCTTGGCTTTATTACAAAAGGCTTCATATTTGAACAGCCAGAACCACTTTATAGCATATCCATGGTCCATGGTGAAAAATAAACTCTAGTGTGACAACTTAATTCTTTTATCTATGTCTCTCTTGAAGAGGCCAAAGCAGCACCTTGAATGTGTAGAAGATGCTTTCCTCCATCCTTCTCGTTAAATTTATAGTGTGAAAGTTTCATTAGTCATTTAGACACAGTCTGCTATTCTATGATATCTCGCAATTTGAGACCATAATGAATATTAAATAGTTACCTTCCTTTATATTATTTTCTTTCAACCTAGAAGTAAAGTTAATGTTTAGGTTCCAAATCCTAAATTGTCAACTGGTTTTTTAGACCCAGTGTACTTAAAGGAAGGCAGAACCAGAAAACAACGGATACAGCAGCAAATAATTAAGGAAAATACACTCAAACAAGGTTATCTAATTGATATTCCACTCATGAATTTGAAAGCTAATTTTTAAATAATGAATCATAATTTGTATCAAATCATAAGATTCCAAGACAAAAATAAAATAAAATTCTTCCCTATATATATCATTTCATATAGATGATAAATAGTGATCTATGATTTTTTTTAACTAGAAATAGATAAAACAACTTAAGCATACATCTTAAAAAACAAAATATCATTTCCTATACATGATACATAATGCTCTACGTAAAACATTTAAACGATAGAAATAGATAAAACAACTTAAGCAGAAATCTATTGAGTTTGTGAAGTGTTTATTTTACAAGAATGATATCTTATTGAATGAGTGAATTACTTAAATAATATCTTAGTGTTTTCTTATTCTAGATAGGATTATTGACTTATCTTATTTCCTTATTTGGACAAGATTTAGCTCCCTGTTCTAGGTTGCCTCTTCAACAAAAAGAGAGGAACCATAACTGAACAATAATAACAATTTAGGCATTTGAAATATTGGAGATTTGTTGGTCTATCAAAACCCTAACAACATGGCAGAACCTCAGTGGGTTCCACCAAATTGGTATGGGTAGTGATATCGATACTGCAATGTTCGCCTTAGCCTAGTAAGTGTTACCAGGGCTGCAGAGCATGGTCCGATGTTAAGATCCAATTGCAAGGTCTAAGATTTGAGTCCCACATTGAAAGTATGAGATTCTAATGTGGGATTTATAAACTTTCACGACAGTGAAATGGAAAATCAACAATTTTTAACAGCTACAACCTCTATACTTTATAGAGGTAAAGCATGGGAAATAATAACCCAGAGCACATAATATGATGATCATAGCAGCATCTGTGTTCCTGTGAAAGGGCAAAACTCTATCTCTACGCACAATTCTTTATCACCATAATAAGCTCCACACAAAAAAAATGTGTGTAGTTCAAATCACCAAAAGGGAATTTTTCTTTATAAATACGTATGAAAGAAAATTAAACACATACTATAGAGGACAAATGCACAAGAACATATCCAAGGTTACCTTGCAAAGAGAAACAAGATTCTAAGATAGAAAAGCCAAGTATGTCCTATAATGCACTGACTACTACTGGTTTTAATTTCAGTACAGATAATCGATTTAAAGCATCAAATTATACTTTGCTGTATTGGAAAATATACAGTGGTAATTTAGAGTAAAGCATAATTTGATTACAGGTGTTAGATCATGTAACATGGGTGCGTACGTCTTTGGTAAGAAATCCTAAACCATAGATATAATCTTATCCTCCCAAGTATTAGTACTATCGCATAAAGACAGCACAGATACTAATGAGAATTTCACAGTTTGGAAAAGCATTAGCCACTGAGCTTGGTGATCCGGATATTTCTAACAGAGAATACTAGCCATCAAATACTGAACTAAAATTAAAAAAAAAAAATTGTAACGATTGAAATGGGAGGAGTAGAAAAGAAGAATACCATGAAGGTGGTCTTCCAATGATCCCAATGGCATAAACTCATAAACTAAGAGGCGTTGGTCCCCGTCCGCACAGTATCCAATGAGATTGACAAGATTAGGGTGGTGTAGAAGACTGAGCATGAGAACCTCCACGAGGAATTCCCGGTTGCCCTGAAGACCGTTTCTGTCTAACTGTTTAACAGCCACAGCCTGTAGAGGTAAAGGAACACAAGGGAGGAGTTAGTGAGAAGTGAAAGGTGACCTAAGTAGTGAATATAACAAGGTGGACAGAGGATTAACAGAGCAGAAAGAAAGATTACCTGACCAGTGGTTTCAAGGCGGCCCTTGTAAACCCTTCCGAAACCACCTTCCCCCAAAAAGGATTGGGGCCTGAAATTTTTGGTGGCGGCTGCCAGTTCACGGAAAGTGAAAGTCTGTGCGGCAATTTGTACAGCAGGTCCGTCCTTGAGAGCAGCCAATTCCCTTTTGGAGTCACCATTGTTACCATTGCCATTGCTAGATGAGCGTAGCTTGTCTGCTCCGGCTATACAATGGAAATTAAGCAAAATCATATTAAGAAGAAAGAAGTGTGTGCCGAATACTAGAATTCAATAAGAAATTAGGATATAGAGAAAATGATGCGTGATGTGATGTGATGTGATGGGATGAGACGGGGAAGGTAGCAAAAACTAATACGGGATCTGATTTCAATCTGGTTCGTCAGATCAGATCAAGCAGAGTATTGGGATTAAATATTTTGCATAAAAAAGAAGAAGAGGAAAAAGAACTTACCAGAGGCAGAGGGCAGTCTGGAAATACGAGAGGGGATAGGGGGATTAAGATCATGATCGTGATGATGATGAAGATGATGATGGTTTTCCTGGTGAGGGTTGGGATTCAGCTTCTCGTCTTCCCTCGAATCGAAACAAGAAAAGCAACCCATTCCAGTTTCCTCTTCAGTGACGCGCAGACACAGTCAATCAACCAATCAGTCAAAGCCTCATCTTCCAATTCAATCCTAGACAAAACCAAACAGATTGTACGGTTGGAAGGAAGAAAGAAAGAATGAATTTGCGTAACAAAGTGGTTGTAAGGAGAAGAAGAAGAAAGAAGAGAGTTGGGTCCTTTGGTTATGCGCGTACAAGTTAAGTTAGTGGTTCCACTTTCACACTTCCGCCACTGCCAGAAGAAACACCCAGGGGCTTTCCTTTCGATTTAATTGGGCTGGGTTGGATCCTATGTATTATTAAATACTTTTATTAAAACCAGAAATATCCTAAATTTTCTCATTTCAGAAAAACTACCTTTAATTTTATTTTGGTCTTTGGGTGTTTTAAATATGCGCTCCTAATTTCCCATATTTTAATAGATTCTGTTATTTTAACGCTTCCATCAAATTAAGTNTTAATTTTATTTTGGTCTTTGGGTGTTTTAAATATGCGCTCCTAATTTCCCATATTTTAATAGATTCTGTTATTTTAACGCTTCCATCAAATTAAGTGACGTTGACTGGTGAGATAATTAGAGAGTTAAGACCTACATAACTCTGATATTTGGGGAACTGGGTTGATACAACGATACTCGAGAAATTAAAATTCCAAGTTTATGGAATTTAAAAATTCCAATTCAAATAAGTGAAGCATATAATAAAATTTACTTTGGGATAAAAAAAAAAAAGAGGAAATATGTGAAGATAATTGTGTAGGGTAATAAAATAACTAAGATACGTATATTAAAATAAAAGAAGTGAAAGTGTTGAGAGGAAAACGAGGGAAAGATATAGATGAGAAAAGAATAGATATGACAGAAGCGAAGCCGAAAAAACGGAATGCCGTGCCTTGTTCCCATTTGGATCAGCGGTCAAGACTGAGCTAGCGAGGCAGCTCCACCAAAATAGCTAAAAAGTAAAAGGAAACAAAATATAGAATAGAAGAGAATAGAAAGTTACATTAGGAGATTGCAGTGAAATGAAGAAAATAATGAGGAAAGATGAATTACTTGGTTCATCCCGTGAGGTGGAATCTGGGGTTTTCCCGCCCGAACCCCCTGTGCAATTCATATGATAACAATAAACACTGAAATTGAACGTTAATGTGAAGAGGCGATGGAGATGTCATCACGAATGAATGAGGTGGAAGATGTTTCTCCTGCAGATGGCGTCCCTGAGCTGGCCAAAGAGTTGGAGCGTATGGTGGATAGATACAGCAGCGGGAGGAGCAATTTTGTTTGGGAGGATGAGGAGGCAGAAGACGAGGACATGTCCCTCTTGCAATTCCTAGACATGGTGGATCGCATCTCCGCTGCTTCGGCTTCCTTATCATCTTCTTCTTCTTCCTCCTCTTCTACTGTGATTGCCTTCCAGGAGGAGTTGGACCTGATCGCCTTCGTCCTAGAAAAAGCAATGTCCCTACTAGAGAAACATCTTTCTCATCTTCTACACGACGACCCCAAATCTAAACCACCCAACAAATCCTTCTCCTTTAATTCTCCCTCATACCTTTCTTCTGTTCCCGAGTCTCCCTCCCCTAGACCACCACAGCAGGATCACCACACCCAAGACCCCTTTGATTTCTCTCCGCAAAAGATTTCTACTTTGAACAAGATCGCCACTGCCATGATCTCAGCCGGCTACCACATCGAGTGCTACTTGGTTTTTGCTAGTTTCAGGCGAACTGCTTTCAGAACCACGCTCCATACATTTGGATTCGGGAACACCAGGATGGAAGATTTGTGTAAAATGTCATGGGAATCCCTTGAAGCTGAAATTGCAACGTGGAATCAAGTGGTTTGGCACTGCACCACCGTGCTTTTCAAGTCTGAAAGAAAACTTTATAAATCCATCTTCCCCGATCATCCCTCCATTTCTCAAAACTTGTTCTGCGATCTTGCACGACAAGTCATCGTCCATTTGCTCAACTTTGCACAGTGTGCTGTTCTAACAAAATGGACCACAGAGAAACTTTTCAAATTTCTAGATATGTACGAGACCCTGAGGGAAGACGTTATCGGAGGTTCCTATCTGGAGTCGGGAGCTAAGGAGCTGGCGTATGAGGCAGGCACCGCAAGGGACATGATAGTAGAGGCTATTATGGCCATGTTTTGTGATCTGAAGAACTCGATCAAGAACGACAACGAAAGGATTCCTGTTCCGAACGGTGCAGTGCACCCCTTGACTCGGTATGTAATGAACTATCTAAAATATGCATGCGAGTACAAGGATACGTTGGAGGAAGTGTTTGAACAAGGAGAAAGGATAAATGAGAAGGAGGTGAACGAAGTGGAAGATGTAGAGAAGCGGAAGAATTCGGGTTTTGCAGTGCAGTTGATGAGCATAATGGATCTTTTGGATGCAAATGTGGAAAGGAAATCACAGTTGTACAGGGACGATGCTCTGAGGTATTTTTTTCTGATGAACAACGGGAGATACGTAGTGCAGAAGGTGAAAGGGTGTGAGGAGCTTCACGAGCTGATGGGTGACAACTGGTGCAGGAGGAGGCAGTCGGGTCTGAGGTTGTACCACAAGTGTTATCAGAGGGAAACGTGGACTAAGGTGCTGCAGTGCCTGAAGCCGGAGGGGCTACAGCAGGGGACTGGGAATAAGGTCTCCAAACAGCTCGTGAAGGAAAGGTTCAAATGCTTCAATCGGATGTTTGAAGAGATACACAAGTGTCAGAGTTGTTGGATGGTGAGCGATCAACAACTGCAGTCGGAACTCAGAGTTTCCATCTCCTCTTTGGTCATCCCCGCCTACCGCTCCTTCGTTGGAAGATTCAAACAACATCTTGAATCAACCAGACACATCGACAAGTATATCAAGTACCACCCAGACGACATTGAGCTTTTGATTGATGATTTCTTTGCCGGTAATGCTGCCTCCATGCCTCGAAGGAGGTCATGAAGGAAGACACCCACATCCTCCACCCACATACCTCAAACTATTTCATTTCTTTTCGTCTCCTGTAATATTAATCCTTATTTTCCTCTTAATTGATGATAGTTTAGTTTTAAACTGAACTCATCTACAATTTAATTCTTTTTATTTTTGTCAAAAAAATTATATTACCTCTAACCCTTTCGATATAGGACTTTTATTTACTATTTTAAATTCTTATTTTAATTTAATTTACAAAACACTATAAAGATAAACAAACATGTTTCTATTTTTCTCTCACTAATACCATAATATTTGTGTATATGGTAATTAATATATTTTAGTCCTTAAATTATTAGATAACCCCCCGCCTTGACTTGGAAGATACTGATTCAAGAAGAAAAAGTATAAAATAAGTATACATTTGTAGAGTAAAGTAACCAAGAGAGGAGAAAGGGGCGGTGGAGATGGAGAGAGAGAGGGAGGTGGTGAGTGTGCTGCACGGTGGTATGATCATAACCATGGACGAGGAGCAGCGAGTGTTTAGGGACGGGGGAATCGTGATCGAAGGAGATAGAATCAAAGCTATTGGACAATCTGCACAAATTCTTGCTGAATTTTCTGATGTGGCCCACCACATCCTCGATCTCACCGGCCACATCTTACTCCCTGGTTCTCGCTCTCTCTTTCCTTTTTTCTGTTTGATATTGCTATGAAATGAAATGAAAATTTAAATAATCTAAAGCAGTAGAGTGACAGGATTTATTAACACCCACGTCCATAGTTCCCAACAACTCGCTAGAGGCATAGCCGATGATGTGGACTTGATGACCTGGTTGCATCACCGCATCTGGCCCTACGAATCCAACATGACCCAACACGATTCTTACCTCTCTACTTTGCTTTGCGGGATCGAGCTCATTCACTCCGGCGTAACCTGTTTTGCTGAAGCTGGGGGTCAACATGTGTCTGAAATGGCTAGAGCAGTCAGCTTACTGGGTCTGCGAGCTTGTTTAACCCAGTCCACCATGGACTCTGGCCACGGTTTGCCTCCATCCTGGGCCACTCGTACCACGGATCAATGCATTCAGGTCTCTCTCTATTCAAACTCCCAACTAATATGATTTATTATTCAGTGATGATTACAAAAGTGAACCAACTTCTTACCAAAGCCAATATATATATATATATATGGACAGAGAAGCATTGCACAATGGATGGATGGTTGTAACAAACTACAATAATAACAGTAGCTGTTCAGAAACTGTTAACTAAAAGAAATAGTTGAGATATTACTAAAACCATAGAGAAGTTTATCTCTAACACTCCCCACAAGCTCAAGGTGGATGTGAAACAATAGGCAACTCAACCACATTGAGCTTGGATCTAAGAAAAAGAACTCTTGTTGGTAAAAGCGGCTTGGTTAGTAAACGGTCCATTGATCTGCACAACGAGATGCTTGGCTAGAAGAGCACCAACAACATACCTAGAGAAAGATGGGATAAGAAGAAAATCTGCACCCTGTTTTGAGAGTTTAAACCAGAAAACACAGGAGAAGATATAGGCTTTGTCTGGACAAGAAAATCCTTCATATATTTTGTTTGTGCCATAACAGGAGTGTCATTGGATTGGAGTATGAGCGCACTTCAATGCCAAGAAAATAATCTGAGGCCCCTAGTGTGAGAGAAAAGACAGTCCAAATTATGAATAAGATGCTGAACTAGGGATGTGAAGTTTCCTGTTATTACGATGCCATCAATATAAACAAGTGATTGGACAGTACAATTTTTGCTGAGAATATGTTAATAAGAATAGATCGCATTTTCCGTCTTTAAAACCAAGCACACTTACCATCTCTGAAATCAAATTGCAGTAAGATAGTTTTGTGAAGCTGACAAACCAAACAAGTATCTTTATCTTCAAAAACCTGGAGGTTTAGTCATGTAAACCTCTTCATCAAGAAAGACATTGTTAACATGTAACTGAAACAAAGACCGCTTGTAAGCAACAACAGAAAATAGAATAATGCAAAAGGAGTCAGGTTTTATAACTGAAGATAGACTCTCATTAAAGTTGAAACCATATTGTAAATTGAAACCCCTGGCAACTAATCCCATTTGGGTTTCCCATAACACAGAACACCCGTTTGCAACCAATAGTATAAAAATTCGGAGGAAGAGGAACTAAAGACTGGGTATTCTTCTATTCAAGAGCAAGAAGTTCATCTTGCATAGCACCAAACCACTTTGTATCCTGTAAGGCAATTTTTACACTCTTTGGTTCCACATTGGCAACAAGGAGAGATGGAATAACCCTGATTTGAACAATACCAGACTTAGAGTGAGTCTGCATAGAGTGAGTATTGAGAGGACAACGTGGTACGATGTGTTTGGTACGGTTCAGAATTAGAAGTTAGGATCTATGGAAAACACAGGATAAAAAAGGATAGATTTAGCAGAAGCTAAGAAAGAGTATCAACTAGCTATGAATAACATATTGAAACCGACAAGTATTATGATTAGTGAAAATTACAAAAGTGAGTGAACTGCTTACCGAGGCCCGTGTATATGGACAAAGGAGTATTGCATAATGCATGCTTGTTCAGTAGTACTAGGAACTAACTACAACTGTTACTACAATAAATACATGTAGTTGTTCAGAAACTATTAACCAAAAAGAAACAAACTAGATATTACAAAAAAGGAGAAAAGTATATCTCCAACAAAGTCTTTACGAATCCATTTCTTTTCACAAATGACTTTACTCTTACTTTCTTCTCATATGCAGTCTCAAAAGGACAATTATGACAAGTACCACAACACAGCCCATGGTCGCATCAGAATCTGGTTCGGAATACGACAAATCATGAACTCTACTCCTTGCTTGCTTATCGAAACAAGAGATGCTGCAACACAACTAAAAACTGGAATACACATGGTACCCATTCCTTTTCTTTTCTACAAACATTTTGTGGAAAAACAAGAACAACATAACCAAAACTTCATTCTCTAACTTTAGATCGAGTTGGGTGGGGCTGTTTTCATCAACAATATTAATTTGATTATTCAAAATGGCCTATATAATAATGGGAGGAGTTCTAAATCAATACCACTTATTTTTTATTCATACTAGAAAGTGGTGTATTAAACTAGCCAGCACAATACTTATGCACCAATGTCCTCACCTGACATACAAAACTGTTAGCATGTTGCTGAGATACCGTATGAGAACCAACTAGTCAGGGATGTTCACAAAGTAGATCACGGAACTGTTACATACTTGGACAAGATAGATTTCCTTCAAAGCAATCTGCTAGCAGCTCACTCAGTTTGGCTTGATAATAACGAGGTAAATTTTTGCCCCTTTAAACATGATTATACCCTTTCAACAAAACCTAATTCAGTTCTTAAGTTTCTATTATTATCTAACATGTGGTGAGTTCAATTTTGGGTGATGCTGGTATGCAAGAAAACACCCATGACTGTTTATTCCTCGAGTTAGTGTGATAAACAGTAATTATTCCTGCATAATATTTTTTCAGATATCTCTTCTTTCAAGATCAGGGGTCAAAGTGTCCCACTGTCCTGCTGCTGCAATGCGAATGCTTGGATTTGCACCTGTAAGGGAGATGCTTGATGCTGGTGTTTGTGTCTCTCTGGGAACTGATGGGGCCCCATCAAACAATCGCATGAGCATCGGTTCATCTGAACTCTAAACTTTTGAATTCTTTTTTACTTGCTTTATAATTGCACTAGATTCAACAATTCCGCATTTAATAGACCACAGAAGGAAGTATGCAAATTTAATTGCACTAGGTTCAACAAGCTCAAGTATGCAAATTCAATTTGTTATGTGAAGAATTTGTATTTACTTATGTGAAGAACTTTTATTTTTAATATAGTATTAAATAGACCACAGAAGCAACCTACCCTCCTAAGGCAGGGCAGGTTCATCTAAGATTATGAACACCAAACCCTCACTTGAACGTGAAATAGTGGGAGTCTCTAGCCGCATGGAAAATGTACACTTTTAGTGGATTGAAATTTTCATTTCTAAATTGTATTTGCAGTTGATGAAATGTACCTAGCTTCTCTAATTAATAAAGGACGGGAAGTTTATGCTAATGGAACCACAGATCCAACAGCATTGCCCGCTGAAACTATTCTTAGAATGGTTACAGTTAATGGTGCAAAGTCGGTATTGTGGGATGACGAACTAGGTTCTCTTGAGGTTGGGAAAAAGGTTGGTATTGGTTCACGTCATTCGTAAAGTGTAATTATTATGATTTTTTCTTTCCCGGCTAACTTTTTTCTTTTTGTTGAAATCTTCCCCTTTTAATTGGGACTAAATGCGGGATTCTCTTTTGTTGGACACAGATTATACTGTAGACCTTTGAATTCGAAGTAGAGAGTTGTGGTGTGGGGATAGTTCTTTGTATTTGTATAAAGCACAGTTGAAACATGACATTTTTTATATCTGTTGATAATTACCACATTTCGTTTTTGCAAACTAGTTAACAATGAAAATAAATAGGAAATTTTTAAAATATGATATGGACTAGGTGAAAAAGAAAATAACGTAAGCAAAGAAAATATAAAAATCTTGCGGGAAACTTATTACATTCAATTGGACAAATGTTATATTGACCTCCCTGGTCAATGCTTCTGCAATATCTTTCTAACTTTGTTTAACACCAAATCTTCTGTTGATGGTAAAGTAGATTATTTGCTAGAGAAATAATACCTGGAGTCGCCAGATGTTAATAGACATCTAGTGAAAGAATGAAAAAAGAGAAAAATATCGAAATTATGGGTGGTATGATGTGATAAGGGAAGAAAAAAATGATTATTATTGAGTGTTTAATATCATTCCTCTTTTTTATATTTTCTTGATGGGACCGAAGCTGACAGTTTTGTGATTGTCATTCAATAGGCGGACATTGTTGTAGTCAATCCTTCCTCTTGGCCTATGGTTCCTGTTCATGACTGGTACGAACCCATTACATAATTGGTACTTCTGTTAATTATACAGACCTTTTATTGAATTCTTTTGAATTAGATGACCGGTGTTTGGATTAGTTTTATCAGAAGCAATCAATTTTTTTTTTTATGACGAAGGCAAGGTAATAAATAATTCTACTTTTCATGATTTCATCGCGTGGGATAGAATTGATTCTCGTGTGTTAACTGCACATCCTAGATTGTGATCTTGTGCGCTTATGAAATAATGTGATGATCATGCATTACATAAAACCATTTTAACGCCATGCAGCGAAAGTTCCTTTCTGTTGCAATCTTGGCTGGCTACTATCACACCATTCAAAGACCTTTTCAAGTTAATACATTTACTGTTTACACAATGTGCAGCATTTCCAGCATAGTGTATTCCATGCGATCAGAAAATGTGATATCTGTCATGTGCAATGGCGTGTGGATAATGAAGAACAAGAAGATTATACACGTGGACGAGGTATTATCTTGGATAGTTTTTCTTATGTAGAATGTGAATCGATTCTATATTAGATTGAGAATCCATTCAATAATATTAATTGACTTAATGAACTAACACTTTACTTGAAGAAGGAAAGAAAGAAAATAGAATGAAAAAAAAGATAAATGGAAAATGAAAAATTAAAACTCCGTTCATCTGGGTGAGTGAAAAATTGATAAATATACAAAAATCATTTTAATTAATTAAAACCAAATTTAATTTATTATAAATCTAATCATTTTTAACATATAATTGCTCTTGATTTTTTTTTTTGTTTTAAAGAATTGTTTTATTCTTTTTAAAGAAACTATAAAACATAAGAAAGGCTTCCGCTATCTCCTACTTTGCATGCCTTGAGATAAGTATTTCTTACAACTCCTTTTCCTTTACTTTCTTCTTGAACTTGACAAACGTACAAAAAAAAACATATAGAGTTCTTATCAATTATGTTTCAATTGGCCTAGTGTTTCGTCTTTTTTCATTACTCGTGGCCGGAGAAGTTTAATTTGTATTGTCCATGATGACAGGAAGAAGTTATTTTGAAGGCAAAAGAGGCTTCTGTTGAACTTCTGAAGAGGGCAGGCATAACATTACCAAGCAGAATGAACATGATTTGAGTATTTGTTTTCAAGTGTATACAGATTGCTAATGCAATACAGGAAATAATGTATGCACTATAGAGACAGTACAGTATCCAATGAATTTAATTGTGTGGATGATGATATTACAGAGTGAGCGTATGACTGCATGACTGTGTAAATTGGTCAAGGGAGAGATTGAATATTTGAATATTTTTTAGTTTTTCAATTATCTTTTAACTATTAGTTGTCAAAATCTAAACATACAATTACACTAATAATTCAAAAACTTCATACATGTATTTATCAATCAAACAGGTTATTAATTATTTTCTTTTCAAAAGAATTTCAACGACTATAACTGAAAGGAACAAAAATAGAATATTGGATTAACAGGACTAGAATAAAAGTTTTTAAAACTAAGCCATTAAACAAAAATGAAATTATATATTTGCAGAGGGTAGATTGGATATATTTGGTCGGATAAATAATAATTTTTCTATAATAACTAACAGTATTTCGATTTTAATACAATGAATAAAATTATAACTTTTGTAAGTTTTAAGATCATTAATTTTGTTTGAAATTCAATGGTTGATATAATTGATAATGTGTTTGATTTTAGTATTTAATCTTAAATACAATTTTTAGAAATAATTTGAAAATTAAAAACATATTTAATCTTAAAATTAATTAAAATTGTAAAGGTGTAGAAGTAATATTATAGTTTTTTTAAGAGGATGGGATGAATTGGATTGGAGGGATAGGATAGTAATTCGTGTGGTGACGGAGTAGAGTTTGAGATAGTAATATATCTGTTGTTAGATTGGAAGTGGCAGTGGCAGTTGCAGACTCAATCCATGGCAGCTGCATTTGCATCTTCGACTACCACATTCAGACTGGTAATCCCTACTATTCTCTTAGATCAAATCAGAATTCTTATTCTTCTTATTATTAGTATTTATTATTTACGATGTGATTCGTTTGTGTTTGTGTTGTCAGTCAAATTTTGGAGATATCAAAGGTTTGCACCTCCATAACCCTAATTCTAATAATCTCAAGTTTAGGACGCCGGCGTCTGGGTTTGGCGGTTGTCATGGAGTGACATTGAGTGTGAAAGAAAGGGAAGTTGGAAGGGGTTTGAGGGTTCGGGCGAGTTCTTCTTCGGGGGAGGACGCAAGTGTTCAGGCTAAAGTGACTCAGAAAGTATTCTTCGACATTAGTATCGGAAATCCAGTTGGGAAGCTTGTCGGAAGGGTTGTCATTGGACTGTACGGCGACGATGTTCCCCAAACAGCCGAGAACTTCCGTGCCCTCTGCACCGGAGAGAAGGGCTTTGGGTATAAGGGCTCTACCTTCCATCGTGTTATCAAGGATTTCATGATTCAAGGGGGCGATTTTGACAAAGGAAATGTATGTATCTATCTATCTATCTCCCGATCTCTCTATCTTTATTCTCTTTCCCATTTTCCCATTCTATTTATTTTCTAACTATCATATATTTCAGGGAACTGGAGGCAAGAGTATATATGGTCGCACTTTCAAAGATGAGAATTTTATTTGTCAGTTCCTCACTTCCTTACTTCCCACTTTACATTCATTTCCCCTTCCTGCTTTCAATTTCTAAACACCAAATAATTTCACCTGCCTTTCTTTTTCCAACCTTTTCTTATTCTTATTATTAAACAAATGCCCCTGCAACTTCTTCTAATTAGATTCCTCCATCTCCCTGCATATTATTGATATTGTAAATATATATTAATGATACTCATATCTACAATATCTCCAGTGTCTCATACTGGACCCGGAGTTGTTAGCATGGCAAATGCAGGTCCCAACACAAATGGGAGTCAGTTTTTCATATGCACTGTCAAGGTATATTGCTCTTCTATATTTCGAATTATCCATGTTCTTCTTCTAATGAAACACCAACCCATCACGCCTAGGCAGATAAGTTTGAGCCATAATGCTGTCTTTCAATGAACAGCTGTGCTACATTTCTAACACGAAGACTTTTTTTAACTTTTAAGATTCCTGCCTTTACAAAACAAACACGGTTGTTCTGCAACTCGTATCAACTTCTAACTTTGTTGGCAATTTTTACGTATAATTTTTGCATATTATTCTGTGAAATTATGTTAAAAATAATTGATTTCATCTGTGTAAAACCCAAATATAGAAAATAGCAATTTTAGATGTATTATAATCAAGGTTGTCAAGGTTACCATTCTACTTAGGATCAAGAGGGGGATGCAAGATCATAAAATGTAGGATCGTGGGATCCTACCAAAATGTAAAGTTATACATCTATACTGATACCGAAATGGAAAAGAAAATTATAAATGACAACACCAAAGCAGACTTAAAACTGAAATTTCGTAACCTTAAATCCCTAACATCCAAAACTAGTCGCAGTAGTCACTTAGATAGTACATGAGGTTTGCTGAAAAATCATGCTCCTACGCGTCCTCAGCTGCATCTGTTTAATCTCATCGGCACTTTCCCAAGCATTTGAACACCAAATTCATCAATAGGTGCAGCTGATACACAGCAGAGAGAGAGAGGGTTGAGACTTGAGAGACTTAGAGATCTGATTGCAGGATAGACAGGACGCGCACTCGTAGCAAGTCTGATTGCACAGCAGCAAACAAATTCATAAATCAGAACCTAGAGATTGAGAGAGATGGGAGGGAGTGACCAAGAGACAGAGAGAATGGGGTGGACCGTGTAAGGTTCTTAGGTCTGATACTGAGAGAGAACAAACTGATTCAGGGATGAAAGAAAGGTTAAAATGCATTCAGGCGAATTGGCTTCGCACGATCAGAATGAAGTCTGATCCCACAATCTTGCTCCAATCCTACTACAACGGTCCCACTGATGGATTTTAGTAATGATCCAGCTAGGGAGCAGATTTATAAGGTCTTGAAATCGATCTATTCACGGTTTAGCTAGTGATCCTGACAGCATTGATTATAAATTATAATTAAAAGAACCACATGGTGTCAACAATCTAAAATTTTACTAATATGATGGAATGTTAGAAAACTCTTAATGTCTACTTATCTGAAATTGTTTCTGTTCCTTGGTTTTGATATAATCAATTGATTTGATGAATTGGCAGACACCATGGTTGGATCAGAGACATGTTGTATTTGGCCAAGTTTTGGAAGGCATGGACATTGTTAGGTTGATCGAATCCCAGGAGACAGATAGGGGTGACCGTCCTAGAAAAAACGTGACCATCAGCGACTGTGGTGAGCTTCCAATTGCTTGAGGTGGTGGTTCTTGTGTATTTTGTTGGTCATGGTCATTTTCTTCTATTAACTTGTTTAGATTGAGAAGAAACTCCTGCTTTATGGAAATTTTTGTTCGACTATTCTTAAGAGAACCTCGGTAACCTTTTTTTTTATCATACTGAACCTAAATCTTATAGCACTCACCTGTGTTCTGGTAGAATTACAGTCAAGTTGCAAAATTTAATACCTGTTTTAAGTGGTATCTCCTTAAGCCAAAGTGCAGATTCCATGGGGAAATGGATGTCAACAGAATTATTAGTCTTCTATAACATGCATGATCAAATTAATAGCATTGCTAGGGACTTGTGGTAGACTTTTTTCTGAGCGATTATTGTGTTATCTTGATCGAATTTGGATTCTTTTATCGGCCCTTTGTATTTTGGATTAAGAATGAAATAAATATAAAAACCTGTGTTTTGAATCACAAGAGAAGGAATGAAAGACTTCTTCCACCTGTGTGGATGAATGAGTTAAAAAGGGAAGGAAAATAAATTTCATAAATGTTTCATAAAAAGGGAATATTAGAAGCATAATTTAAAATAAATATATTAAATAAATTAAAATTATGTATCTAAGCACAATTTTAATAAAAGAAAAAGAAAAATGTCTGAAAGCAAAACTTTAGTCAATGAAAAACAGATTAAATAAAACACGTGTTTGGGAGAAAAAAATTCTTTATTATTCATAAATTTTTAAAATTTGTCTATTTTAATAATAAAAGAAATAAATTATACCTCTCTGGTAAAAAAAATGTGACAACCTTGTACGTGGAGGTTAAAGCAAATATATGGAGAGCTTAGGTAGTATATGTGGAAATATTAATGTCTGGTTTGAAAATGAGCGTTGACTGATACGTACAGGTTAAGAAATTAGGAGTTAAATGATGTTTTACGGATGTTTATTATGGTTGTCTTTAATATGCATACATGTTTTTCTCTGCATAAAGTTGGAGCGAATTTTAGCGCATTTCACTACACTTCAATCATATGTAAACAATAGCATACATTTGAATAGAATGAAGCTACCCAACCTATGCTTCCCTATTCTATTCTACCACATCACCTTTTTCATGGAATTCCTTCTTCCAAAACTTTACCTAAAATCATTTTTATTATTTTAATAATAGAATTTATTATTTTATTATTCAACTCCTAAAGTTGCACATTTATATATGTATTTAGTTCAGTTACAGTTTTCAACATAAAGAAAAGGTATATTTGTTTACCTATTTCTCTCAATATTTTTGGAAAATTTTATAAAAAAATGTTTATGATGAAAGTGACGAGTTACAAGTGTTTGACGTTCATTGTAAAACAAAAATAATAGAACATTAGTTAATATTATGAGAGTTTATATATATATATATATATATATATATATATAAAAGAAAATTGTAAATTTCTTTCTAAAGATTTATTTACGACATCATAATTAAAAATTTGTCTCGATAATCAACTTAGATTCAATGCAAAAGTTAAACTTAGAAAAATAATTCTTAGACTTTGTAAAAATTTGTGTTTCACAAATTTAGGATATGTGATGGCTTTTTAGAAAAATATTTGTTGGAAGATTTAGCAATAGTATTACATGAGTTCTATTGAATATATAAAATAGGAGGTTCACATGTGAGATACAAATACCAATGAGATTTGAGTTCCCAACAACCTCTCCCTCAATGTGAGTTGCTTGCAGCGGAAGCATTTTCAACCAACCACAACCACGAGTAGTATTTTTCAATAGTCGTTCATCTTAACGGAACTTGCTTACCTAAACATACCACTGTTGGGTCTATCAAGGAGGAGGTTCACAAAGGAAATACGAACACCAATGAGATGTAAGTCTAATTATATAAAGGATCGACACCACTCTTTACCAAAAATCTTAAGACTATGAATTAATGTGTCTTTCATCTTTATACTACTTACTCATTTCTATCCAATATTTGACTCACACTTGAATTACGAACAAGTTTAACATATATAAAAATTTAATATCATCTCTCATCTAAAACTTCAATACAATAAATTTGAATATTTTTTCTTATATATTTCTTCTTTCTTACAACGAATAACAAAAAATTAATAGATAACTTAATAAATTTTAAATAATTAAATTTAGTTTATTTGAACTAGTTTCACAGTTTCAGTCTCCTATTAAAAAATATATAAATTAATTTTAAAAAAATAGTTTTAATTAATTATCAATCTTTTGAATAACTTTTTGTTATTTTTTTTAACAGTTTAATCATGAATACCACTAAATATATGTTGATAGAAAAATAAATATTAAAAGAGATTAGTATCATTTAATTTTTTTTTTCTATCATTAAAATTGGATAAATTTATTGAATATCGATTCATATTTATTTCACCCTTCTCAAGTACAAATCTATGTCACCCCTGTGTATTTATAGGTATAGTTATACACTTTGAAATTCAAACTCGTTCTTTAAAATTAATATTCACTATAATCTCTTGTTTTTTTTACTCATTATGACAAGTTGCTATCATATAAATATATGGATAAACTATTTATCATCTCCCATGCTAGAAAATTCACACTCACAAATTTAGATTAAGAAAGAAGCATATCTCTCCTATTTTCTGATAGAATATCTGTTCGAGTCTCTAGTTTCTTAACATTCCTTATTTTATTAATAAATGTCACCCTTCAATCTCTGTACTTTCAATAAACTAACACTTACTTTGCTTATTTTATTTTAAAATAACATATTTGCTAAAAATTAAATAAATAATTTATACAAACTAAAATTTAAAATATAAAAAGTTGTTCTCGTATTTTCTAACTTTGAATTTTAATATAAAGTTTCACAAATTTAAAAAAATTAAAATACATTAAACTTGAATTGTTTTTAATTTATTTTTTATTATTTAAAATATTTTATTTGAATAAAATAATAAGTTTATTGAATTTTGATTTTATTATTTGAATATTAATTATAAAAAAATTGAACAATTATAAAAATTCAAAAAATACTAGTTTATGTTATTTTTCAAAACAAATTTTGTTGAGACATATTTTAGCTAACATTATAAGGGTTTAGTGTTTCGTTTGGTTGATGTTTAAAATAAATTCATATTAGATATTATTAAAAATTTTGATATTTCATATATATATATATATATATATATATATATATATATATATATATATATTTTGATATTCTAAAATTTATCAATCATTTGTCATTATATAAAAATTTATTAAAAAATAAATAAATAAATATAAAACATAAATATCATATCAAATTTATGATAGAATATTAAAATCAATTTATTTGAAATTATAAATTATTAATTTTAATTTTTACACTTTAAATAAATTTATAATCGTCCCTCTATCTCCCCTTTTTCTTCTGTATTTCCAAGTCTTAAATTTACAAACTTTGTTTGAAAGTGTTAGTTTCAAAATTTAACTTTAATAAAATAAAACTGAAAAACCCTAAACATTTTCAAAATAAAGACTTTATTTCTTTCATTTATATATTACTTTTTGTTTTCATGGGACTTTGGATATTTTAAGATTACTTTTAAGCACAAATATATTTTTAAGCTTGCAAACTTACAAAAACAGTAACATTAATTATAATGACAAAGCATATGGGTCAATCAAATTATTTGCAAAGACATCATGAACCCCTTCTCAGGACACAATTAAGCAAATATCTGCTGTCATTAATTCATTGTGACCATCTTGTCTGTAAGTGATATAAAGAAGAAATTAAAAGGTGATTTAAGATCTCCCATTATGATCTTCATCTATCTCTCATACTTTCATTAATTACGTTACAGTAAATTAACTATGGTTTCAACTTCATCTTATCATAGTAACAACCGTATTCAATAAAATTACTTTTAAAATAAACTTAAATTATAACTACTTGATAATATATTTTATATACAAAATAAATTTTATTTATATAATAAAACGTATGATAGCCATTTTAATTTACCAATTATAGAAGTTTATATCTGTTTTCTACGAAAACATTTTAATAATAATACACTGTAAATTATATATATACATATATATATAGTTTATAATTTATATAACCTTTTAAAGAATACCTAATTTTAGTTGATAAAAAAAATATATTCATAAAAAAAAACATACTTTAAACACATATTTTAATAATTTTTAATTTTAAGTTAAACTAAAAGATAAAAAAAATTCGAAATTATTCAAATATCCTTGTATTAGAATATTTTTATCAATTAAAATTTGATACTTTAAGAGATTACTATCAAACATATATATATATATATATA